GCCCCGCAGGGAGTTCTCGGCTGCTCCAGCGGCCGTGAGAGCGAGCTGTGAAGAACACCGCCAGAAAGAAACCAGCCCTGGTTAATTCTTTGGTTATTATTCAGGTAATTCGTTTTGTTCTATAGAGAAGTCAGTGGGAGGAGTTTATTCCGGATAACGCATGCTATTAACTTTAATTTAAAACAGAGCTAGGAGAAATGATGTAGGTTTATTTTGCTATGATTTGGCGAAGTGCAAAGTGATACAGCAGTGCCAGTCAACAAGTGTGCAAGTAGTGAGTCAAGCTCCACAAAAGAGCTAAGGCCAACTTAGAAAAACAGTAAGACTACAGTTAATACTTACACGTGGTTCTTTTTATTTGCCCACTTGTCTCAATCTGATTCATATTTTCAACGTTTTCTCTGCAATGCGAGGACCAGAACTTACTATCAGTGTTGTATTTGATTATAGATGCATGCATACATGGAATCAGATAATCTTATGTAAATAGAAAATATGAGGAGGGACAGCTTTAAAAAAAATAAAAAGAGAGTTAGCGATACTGCAGATGATACTAGACCAAAACCAAAATTGTCATATCCTTAACAGGTGTTACATTTAGCACACTGGACAAGACATCTGATACCTGAATAATTATGTTCAGGAGCAAAGCATTCAGTCTGTTAAAACCCATTCCCTTGATGTCTGGCCAGACAAATTTGGCTTACAAATTTATTCATCCAGCTATTGCTTCTCATGGACATCGCTGTCACAGGAGAGGTGTGGATTACAGACAGAGGTACAAGACATGCCCAGGTAGTGCTGGAGGACAAACAATAAGTGCTTCTCAGACCAAGGTTGGTATCTGGAGAGCCCCCTTCCCTCTGCAAGGTTCCTTTAAGTGTTTTTAGTTTACTGCTATCAATATAATTTTTTAAGATTGTACCTGGTACTGGCAGAACCCCAGTTCTTGAACCAAAGCTGCAGTCTATGAATGGTTTACGTGCGCATCAAACATGGCTGAGATTGCAGTGGACTCAGCATGTCCATACTAATGAAAAGATTAATTACATACGACTAGCCTGTTTCTAGTGCATCAGCTGGTTTGTTTAACCAGCTCTCGCTGCACTGCACTGTGGCTTCCTCATGGATCACCTTTCTGCTTGTGAAGTTTAGGAAGTGCTTTTAAAATGAATGTGGGTCTGGCTCTGACCTTCGTGAGTGGTGTGTTGTAATGGAGGAGGAAGTGGTGATGATGAAAGCAAATGGTGTAATACAGTGCTGCCTTACTGGCATCTGCCAGTCAGTTGATAATATCTGGAGCCCAGTTTTCCATCACTTAACAGCATAAGGTTTAGTTGCCGTCCCATCTGAGTAAGTTGCTGCAGGAGCATCAGGTTCTGATCATCAAGAAGCTGTGCAACGCTGTCACAATATGACATCAAATCTTGTCTTTTATTCTATGCGTCATTCATTCTGGAGGACGAATCTAGTTTATCCTTCTAAGGTCACGTAAGAAATATAGAGACTACAGCTAGGGAAATTTGCACAATTTTCACAACCATATGGGGCTGGCAAGGTTCAAAATACTTCAGTTGGCAAGAAATAGATTAGATATATTTAAGAACACAGTATTCCTTTGCAATACGGTTGCACTATTCATCTCATTGCTTTGTTTGCTGATGTTCAGAACTGGTTAGTGTTATCAGAGACACTGCTCGTGGTGAACTGCAGACCTGTCCTAACGTGGAGTCCCCTTCTAGCCCATGTACAGCAGCAGACTGGAACTGAGGCAGAAATGCAGGTCAAGGCCAGGATAAAGCAGTATTACTGGTGTCAAGATTGTAAGCATTTAATAGATGCAGTTGGGATAAGCCTGAATTTGCTAAGGACAAGGGTTTGACAGAAATTTCCAATCTGCATTGATGCCTTTTTGTCACAGGTTTGAATTGTGGTTACTCACAGAAGGCTTGTGTGAGAGGACTGAAGCAGCAGATAATCTCTACCCAGCACTGTGTTCCCAGAATAAATCAGCATACTGCTATAGAAAATTGTTCTGATTCAGTTAGCACAACGGCAGGTTTCCTGGAGCCAAGTCTAAGACACAATGTGGGATAGAGACCTAAAGCAAGTGGAGCACAGCAAACAGAACTGTAGGAAATTAGACACGAATGCTGTTAAGACATGCAGCAAATCTTCAGCTACCATTTTTGTCAATAAGGACTGCCTCTAATTAGGTGCCTGGCTATCTGTGGAGCCCCTATCGTATCGCAGGATACAATACATTTGCATGAGTGTTGCAGAGAGGACTGGGCTCAAAACTGTCTGGGCGGGGGAAAAGTTCTAGTATGACGGACTGTGCTGTCAGTGGGACTTACAGTATCACCTCTAGTGTTCTTCCCCACTGGTTCAGCATATAGGCATGGTTGTGCTAAATTTTGCGGGAGGTAAGTTCAGGTACAGATCTGGATGTTTGAAACACCGAAGGCAAGCAGTGTAGCAGCTGTCCAAGGATGGACCTTCATTGTGCAAATTTGTTACATCTAAACCATTCCTGACAGATGTTTGTCAGACCCACCTGAGCCTCAGTGCCTCCCTACACTACCTGTGGCTTCACCAACCATAATCAATAGGCAAGAAACTTTGAGTAACTTTCTAGCAGCCTCTGTTTCACACCACTGCTTATAGAAATACGAATAAGGTTGAGAAGCTACCAGGTTTGTGTGAAATCAATATTGATTCAGGACTAAAATGAAACTATTTGAGAAGAACACCTTGTAGGACTGGATTTAGATCTCAGGGGGTGGATATTCCTTGGTGTTATAGTCTAAATCAGCACAAATGAAAATACCGGGAAGTTGTCTAATGTACCACGCTAGTACCAAGTGATTTATTCTGTGAATTTATTCTGTATCATTAAAAGCAGTATTGAATTTCATCAGTTTCTTGTTTTACAGATGTGAATTTAAATGATCTCTACAGCATCAATCCTTTAAGGGTGTTCTCCTAAACAAAGGAGTATTTCTTCTATTCCCCTGTTGCAGGTCATGGCAGAAGAAGAGTTGCCGGGTGTTTTGATTCTGGATATAGGAGGAACTCATGGTGTGCTAGAAAATGTTGCAGCACTTTTGAAGAAACATTTTCGCCTTATCACCATGAAGGAATTTCTTGAAAACAAAAAAGAAATGAGCAAAAAAATCCAATCTGTTTTCGTGTTTGAGGGCAGGCCAACTATTGACCAGGAGCTTCTAGAAAGCCTGCCTAATTTGAAGGTAATTGGAAACTCTGGGGTTGGAGTCGATCACTTAGACTTGAAAATGACTTCTAACTTTGGCGTAAAAGTGACCAACACCCCACATGCCGTGGCGGACCCAACAGCAGACATAGGAGTGGCCTTGATGCTGGCCTCTGCCAGAAGACTAGTGGAAGGTAATGTTTTAAATTTCCTGGATCTTAGCCACTTCTTTGGCATATCTCACTTTTACTATGATACAGATGATCTGTCCAAATCAATATTTGGGATGCTTTTACAGGGAAAAGAATTTCTGAGGACTCCATTTTCAGAGGCCTCTGGTTTTCCTATGTCCCACTTCTTTTTAAGGCAGTGGTGACAAGAGTAAGGCCTTTGTCTAAGTTATGCACTTCAAAATTACTTGTGGTATCCTGTTTGGAATAATGTCTGGGGCTTAATTCTCCTCTGGCTGTTCACTGGGTGAGTTGTTTATAGCTGTAAAAACTGAATACAAAATGCATCCAAATCAGTGTCACCACTTTTCCATTTCCCCTTGAAACAAGTGTTAGGAGCTACAGGAAGGTACAAAGCATGTCCCCATCTCTAGAGCAGTAATTAGTATAACTCTTAATTTTTTTCCTGCTTCTGTGAAGAGTTTGTCTAACCCAGTGGGTTGTATTTCCAGAAGAGCATCAGCGTTATTATTGAACTAGCTGATAATCCTTTTGACAAAGTTATTCAAACTGTACCACCAACATTAGTTTATGTCCTTAAAGGTAGGTGCTTTCCCCACATGCCCTTGCTACGCAATGCCTTTCAGGGGAAGGAAGGTGTCAGTAGAGACTATCACAAGAAGTTGCCTCTGTCTTCAGGGACTCATAGTGTTTCTGTCACTGCTGCTCTACCCCTGAGCACCCTGTTTCCCCATGATGTTTTTTCACTATTCCATTTTGCTGGACCTCGAGTTTTTTATATAAAAGCTCATAGAGATCCCTGGCTGAGCTGGAATTTTCAACCTTCATCCCCACTCAAGCAGTAGGCTGCTTTGTGTTGTGATCCAGGAGAGAAATGGTGAGATTTAACCCCAGCTAAAAAAACGTTAAGTCAATGCTTGCGGGGTGGTAAGTGTCAAAGAAGCTATTTTTGAACTTCCAAGAAAATACTCCAGCCACAGAAGAGTTAATTCCCTGAGGAGCCATTCCTCCCAGCACCGTACCCACCCAGGAGCCCCCCTGTGTTGCTGGCTGCAGCCCTGGCTGTTGCAGGGAGTGGCACCATCCAGGCCCTTCTATAAACTGGTCAAAACTAGCAAGGATGTTTTGTAAGGAGTGCTCTAGAGCCCTGCTGCTGTGATGATGAGAAACTTTTCCTTTCCCTCAAACCTATGTTTATGGTCCGTTTGTACCCATTTAACATGTACCCATTTGTACCCATTTGTACCCATTTAACATGTATTTAACATTCAGGCTGCCAGATTGCGGTTTCTCCAGACACAAAGTATTTTGCTGTTGACTGGCTGGGAGTGGAAGTAACCAGAGCGACGCTTGGGATCATCGGGATGGGCAGCATTGGGTACAGAGTGGCTCAGAGAGCCAGAGCCTTCGACATGAGGATCCTGTACCATAACAGGAACCGGAGGTAAAAACGTCTGGTTTCTGCATGTAATTGGTCAGGGGACAGCGATGGAAACCACAACTCTGCTGTGTCCCCGATCTTCCTAGTGTTACAGAAATTACGCATGCCAGCCACCATAACAGGGTTTGACTCTAGGTTTCTGCTGAATCAATAAGCCGAAAAGAGATTATTCTATAAAGTCCTTTTTATTAATAGCGCTACAGCTCGAGCTGGGTGCCTCCAAAGAGGGACCTTGAGCAAAGAAATCCCTGGGCAATTATACCTCTACAATCTAAATTCCCCACCCCTCGTGCAACTGTTCAGACCAGTAGTAATATTAGGGTCTGGGGTCTTCCCGTTCTTTATTAGGTCCTTTCATTGTCTTTAGGCAGGCTGTTTCTTTTCTTATCCCTAAGGTTGCAGCTTCTGTTAATGAATGTAGCTTCCTTATCTTCTGGCTTGAACTGGCTCTGGGGCCTTCTTTTACTTGACTAGGTAAAAGTTCAACATATCTAGGTGAGAGTTCACAGCTTGTGGCCTAAGGCTTCAGCAAATTTAGCTACTAATGCTAAGCAAGTTATGCTAAACCAGTTCCATATAAGTAGTATACCAAATTGCACAATGCTAGGCACTTGTGACAGTTACAAGCAGCATGAGGAGCACCAGCTGCTTCCTCGCTTTGGCTCCCTGCTGCTCCCCTCGGGGAGCAGCCCACCCTCACCTCCTGTGCTCACTCTGCCCTGGTTAGCTACTAGCAGTTTGGAACAAGGGCCGTGTAACCTTTCTGAAGGTGGTGTCCAAGGAAACCAAGCCTTGTGCCCTCATTTTGTCCCCTGTCCTGCCAGACTCTTCAGGCTTCTGGCAACATCCCTGGCCCACCCAGCCAGTCACCCCTCTCCTCAGCCCAGCCAGATCACTCATCACACCGACACCAGTGAAAAGGGTCATTAGTTTTATAGTTCCCTTTTTTTCAGACTTCGCTTCCCCTTCATTCCTTTTCCACCCCAAGTCCTAACTCACATGACCAGCAAGGAGAGACTCTACAGGGATTGGCATAGACGCAGGAGAGAAGAGTGGGGTCTGACTGCATCCCCAACCTCCTATACCTAATATCGCCTGCGTGCTTCACTTTCACACATGAATCACTCCTTCAGTGTCCTGCCATTCTTCTAGCCCTCTAGCCCACATCCTTCCCTACTCCTTCCACCATCTGTACCTATCAATGTCTTTACCTTGGTCTCAAACCTCTCAATCTCTATGCTGTTCCAGATCTCTCCTAGGGTTGATTGATTGTTAAAGCCAGTTAGAAATAGTTGTGTCAATTTGGGGGTGTGTGCATTTTTCCTTCAGAAGAAAGGAGGAGGAAGAGGCAGTTGATGCCCACTACTGTGAGAAGATGGAAGACTTGCTGCAGCAATCTGACTTTGTTATGTTGGTTGTGAACCTGACTCCTGAGACTCACAAACTGATTGGGAAAAAGGAGCTGGGGCTGATGAAACCCACAGCTATTCTTATAAACATCAGCCGAGGTAGGACAGTCTAAAAGCACTGTTTGTGGCTCCATAGTTAAGGTTGTGTTGACATTCTCCCCTCCAACCTCAGTCTGTGATATCCCTGTATTGTTTGTGTCATGAAGTTTTGGCAGTCTACAAATGAATGACTTATCATAGATCAGATGCTATGTGTTCAAAGGTCCTATGGAATCTGCTGATGCTCAGCAGATGTTCTGTTCTCTTCAGCCTTATCCTAAAGACAGCTTTTTTTAGTGGAAATAACTGAAACGTTTGTCATCACTGATGATGAATGGGGTACAAGGCAAAACATAAGTTTCATTTGGAACATCTACCTAGAAAAGAACCTTACATGGGATTACAGATCTGTTGGCACTGAACAAGAATAGAAGAGAGAGATAATAGTTTCAGTAAACAAAGCAGAGATAGAAGAGTGGAAAGCTTGCAGAGATTAAATGATTTGTCTATAATAATACAGGAAATCAGTGTCAACGAGGAAAAGACTGAAACTGGTCACATCCCAGGATGTGAATGCCTTATGCAGTGGACCATAATCCTCCTCTAATTAAAGATTAGTAAAAAAAATCTCTGTTTTGTTTGGTTAATGGTTATGAGAAAGACATTCTACTTTCTAACAAGGTGAAGATCCTGTAATTTTTCTCACTAGACCCTTGAGACCTTTCCCCACTCTCAGATAAAAACATGTTCATTAACTCGTCACGATAGCAAGATTTTATTTCAATGCAGGTGCAGTTATTGATCAAGATGCGTTGGTAGAAGCTCTCCAGAATAAGGTTATTAGGGCTGCCGCTCTGGACGTGACGCACCCTGAGCCTCTGCCAAGGTAGAGAAACCTGTTTTCCATTCTATTAATCTGAAGTATTTTCAACTGTGTGCAAAAGTGTGCTCATAATCTTGATCTCCATGGGGAGTCCCTCTCACTGTTTAAGGGCAAAACCTCAGCCTGTCTCACACAGTCATAAATAAATGACAAACTATTCACCTTTCCCACATCTGTCAGTTCTTTGCCAGTCTAACTGACGGGCAAGGCAACGAGACCGATAGAGAGGAAGAAGAAATGGGTAAGCAAGCTTCCCACAGCTTTCTGCTCGTTCTGTGCTTGTGGCCCTTTTATCTCAACATTCCATTGCTGTTTCCTGAGGTTCAGTTCTTAACAAGTAGCATGGGATAGCTGCAGAGTAAATTCCCTGTGTAATACATTCTGTTCTTTCTGTTTCTTACAGAGATCATCCTTTATTAAAATTAAATAACATCATCATAACCCCTCACATTGGAACCGCAACAGTCCAAGCTACCCGTATGATGGCAGAAGAAGCAATAGCAAATATGCTGGCTGTTCTCAATGGCCAACCCATTCCAAGTGAAGTGTTTCCCAAATGATGTGTGCCAGATGATATCACTAAATCTCATATGTATGGGAAGGCACTATTTCTTACAGTACAACTTCAAAAAAAAAAAAGCAACCTGTTCCTGCATTGCTGTCGTTGTAATGATACTGCAAAGCTGTCATCTCACTAGTCTTGATCTGTACTGTTATTTACAATTCTGAAAAATAAAGTGGAACTAATAAAAGGGATTTGTTTGAAGATTTTAAACTGAGTAGTTATGCACTTGGATATCTTCAGTCCATAATTTCAATGAATACCTGTGTTCTGTTCCCAGTACTTGCTGCTACATAATGATAAGCAAGTACACCAAGCAGTTTGTGTGACACTCTCAAATTTATTTAAGGTGAATTGAGCATTAATTCCCTGCAGAAATTTTACTGTATCCTGGAACACTTTTCAGCCAATATTGCAATATTCTATTTTTATGTCAAAACACTGAAGAAAGCAGACTCCTTTGAAATGATCATAGGCCTAAGGTTTTCTAATATAAGAGCAGCTCTGCTTCATCTACATGTTAAATCAAAGCAAAGCCAATAATTGAAAAAGTATCTTTGATTTTCCTCAGGGGATCCTTTGAAAACCAAAGTAAATCCAAAGAGATTTAGTTCCTCCATGTGGACAAAAATGATGCTTTTATCTTGACTGGCCATGGAACAACGGTAGATCTACCACTGAAATCACATGGATGAGGGCACAGCCTAAAGAAAAATTAGTGATCAGTCCTAACTTCCAGCCCAGGGCCAAGCTTTTTCTTACATTCTCTTCCCTATGAGCAAGCAACAAAGTCAGAAAATTTAGTAAAATGTTTGTCACCTCCATTATTTTGCAATATGCTCAGGCTTCTTGAAAGGATGGTAAATTGAAGTTTTAGCACAGGAAGCGTAGACAGGCCAAGAGTTAGACATTCAGATGCAAATAGTGAAATACTACTAACAAGGCAACAGCAAGTATTGCCGTAGGGGACTCCAAGATTTTCAGCTCTTGAACAGCTCTCTCCGCAGCTATTCCCAAAATTCCTGTGGAAAATAAATGGTAGCCATAAATAGTCTATTTAAAAAAAAAAAAAAGCTGTCAGTTCAAAGACCCTTGGGAACCAGGAACAGATGGTCAGTGGTTCCTGCAAAAAAAACCCCACGCTTTAATTTGAGTGTATAAGTCCGTCTTGGAAAACACTTGCCTAAGCATCTATTATTTTGTTAACTTACGATAGCCTCAGGAGAAGGCAATACAGTTAAGAAGTCACTGGTGTCTCTTCCAGAGAGGAGGCTGCAAAAATCTCTGCAATGAAGCATTTAAAAATTAACCTGGTAACTCAAAGTTCATGATGAAGCTGTGCAATTTATTTTCACGAACTAGATTTGGTTCGACATTTTTCTAAACTACTTAGATATGGTAATTTGTGATTTCAGGGTAGGGAAGGAGATTTACTGCACCGGAGTATTGGTGATCTGAAACTAAGTAATTAATGATAAATAATTGTGTGCTATGAGCCTGGTGGCAATGATATGAAACCTTACAGACCATGAGGGACAGAACTTGCTCAGACTTGATTATGTGAATACCTCTGTGTGTTCGTGTATGTGTGTGTATAATTGGTAGTATACTTAAAAGAGCTGCTTTCTTGTCCTGGTTTGTTTACATCCCTATCTAAATATGTGGTTTATAAGATCTCTTGTCATAGGTGTCATGAAACAGGACATGAAAGTGGTTATTCTTTAAAATATCTGGAAATAATTATATGTCTGTCTTCTGACTCTGGGTCTGTCTTCTTTGTGCAGATCACGGGAGGAGGAGAGCTACCTGGGCTTTTGGTAAATTAAATTGGTGGCATACATGGAATACTGCGTGGCCACATGGGGTTCCTGAAGAAACATTTCTACCTCATTACCATGAAGGAATTTCTTGAAAACAGAAAGCATATAAGTAAAAAGTTCCAAGCGATCTATTTGTGGTGGCACAAACCAGTCATTGACCAAGAGGCTCCTCCAGAGCCTGCCAAGCTTGAAAGTGATTGCAAATTCAGGGTTAGGGGTGCATCACCTGGATCTGAATCTTGTAGCTAGCTTTGGTGTGAAGATGGCTAATGCTCCACGTGCTGTTTCTAGCAGCACAGCAGATACTGGCATGACTTTGCTGCTAGGATCTGCTAGAAGACTAGTGGAAGGTAACATCTCAATTCTTTTGTGGCTTCTAAAACTCATACAAGATTTACCTACCATTAACTTGACTTTTCCTAGAGTTATCTGTAGTGCACATAGTTTCACAGAAACCATAAAAATCTAAATATGTTGGGTTGGCAAATAGGATAATTGCTATTTTAATATATTTTATATATCACAAATATATCTAAATTATTACATTATCCACAAACATACATTTCAACTAGGTATAAATAAAATCATATGAGTTCATTTTTCACAGGTCACCAGCCTGAGCTGAAAATACTTGAGCAGAATCCAATCACATTCGATTCAAATACAGCTTTTTGCTTTATGGACAGGGCTTGGTCTTAGAAGCTGGAGTTTAGTTTTTAGAATAAATATAGCTGTAAACTTGATTTAACGGTTTCAGGTGAACAACACACTGAGGTGTTCTTCCTACATATGAAAACTTTAAATTTGATTACCTTCTTCAGCAGCGCATTTTCAGTGACTATGACATTTGGCTGACATAAGACATGCCTCTTCATGTGATAGCGGTACAGTGCTATTGACCAAAAGTGGGGGATGCCAAAGATCAGACGATCGCTGCAATCACAGGCTGGCAGAAGAAATTAGAGTGTGGGAGGCAACAGTGGAGCAGAATAAGGGTATATGCTGAAAGCTGGGGCTGACAGAGGTGTGGGCGTATTCTCAGGGACTGAAATGGGTTGGTGCAGAATTGCAGAATTGAAGGAGCATTAGAGAGCAACAGGGCAGTCTGCTCCAGCTTCTGCTAGTAGCACCCTTTCTAGTTTCTTCCACAATTTTTTCTTGCCATCTCCCCAAATAGACCTACCCTCTGGAGGAAAAGATCCTCCAGATTTATCCTATTAAATTTACCTGCCTTTGGCGTGCCAGCTGTACCACAAGATTCATAGAAACTCAAAGGAGACTTGTCTTCCCCTAAATCTTTCTACCTCACAAGAAGGAGACAGATTAAAAGGGAGATTAATTTCTTGTTTCCATCTACATAAACTATCCCTGGTGGCACTTCTGATAGCTCTGCCCTGGCATAACTGAGTTTTACCTTGAGGCATTTTTTGATACTTTCACAATATTCTGCTTAGGTTTCAGAAGAGCTGGCAATATCAGAAGACTGAAATATCAGAAGCCTGTCACCTTGCTAGCAGACTAATAAGTGCTGTCTCTGTGCATATAAGTTTATTTTCTGTGTTGTAGAACTATCCAAAATTTTGCAGGTTTAACATATAATTATGGAAATTACTGAGTAGGGATTTTTAAAGAAGTCACACTTTTCTTTCCAAGGAGAGTGGCAGAGGTGATCAGGAAACCTGTTCTTATTCTAAATAGCAAAACCAACATCTGGTGTTATTCTCTACATGGCATTTCCAAACTCTGCAGTGTTACTGGCAACAATTTTTTTGATTGTTGATGCAGAACAGGGCAATATTTTTATGAGTCTAAAGCAGTACAATCAATTTTTAGGGGAGATTACATCAAAAGGCTTTTTGTAGTATGGTGAGAATAAATGGGAATGTCACATACATGCGGCAGGGAAAGATTAGGGAGTCACCTAGGACATTACAAAAACCATTGCTATTTAAAATTGTGTATTTGTAACCATTAAAAGTGTACTATAGTAGCACAACAAACCCAAACTCTTTTGCCATGTTCCTGTGTTCATACTGGGGTGTTTTTCTTGCAGGCTATCACGTAGCAATTTCTTCAGGTATGGAGTACTGTGAAGCTGATTTTCTGGGAGTTGAAGTTACTGGAGCTACTCTGGGGATCACGGGCACGGGCAGCGTTGGGTGTAAGATAGCTCTGAGAGCCAAAGCATTTGAAATGAACATTTTGTACCACAACAGGACACGGAGGTAAAGATATGTCTTGACCCCAATTACAGCAGAAACTCCCTTTTAGATAGTCAGTATTTCCTTTTTGAGGAATTATGTCAGGAATATAGCAAGAAATGAGGGAACAGGGCCAAGATTAAAAAGAAAGAAAAAAAAAAGAATGGTTGCCTCAAATCAGTCTTTTAAGGAATTACTTGGTAATTAAACACTTGGAAACTTAATTTAGGTTTTATATTAGAAATGCCAAGGTTTCCTGGAGATGTGATCAGAAAAAGGAAAATCAAGCTTATACTTTTTTTATTCTTATCGTGTCTTACCATAGTGACACATAACTCTACCTTTTGTTTATTTTTTCCCCGTATTTTGAAGCTCAGGAGTGATCTTGTTGAAACTCTGACTGCAGAACTAGGAAACATACTTGGCACAATATGAAAACTGATTAACTTGAGAGCTGTTCTTGAGAAAACCTTGTTTCTCTTCAAACCAGTAGGAATTTTGCCAAGTGTTTAACCGGATTTCACCCTTTATTTCTAGCCCCTCCTAACTTGCGTATCTGGGAGTCTGATCCTTGTTAGAGATTCAGCACAGGGGCTCTTCAATGTAAAGGTGAGCAAGATCCCCATGTACAACTCGAGGCCGTTGCAATCAGGCAAGGTGCAGCCAACAAGCAGAACAAATGTTTACTGCTATAAACCATGATCTACCCTGAGACAACTTTACTCCTCCCTGACTGAAGGAGGAAGCTGCAGTGCTAGTACATGTGGCTTTCAGTGATTTTCTCCATATGCAGACTGCAGCAGGAGAGTTACTGTTCTTGCTAGCCCTAACCAAATCACAAGGGTGGATGAGGCCAGAAATTTCTAGCCTTGCTTGGCGTTCTGTTACTTCAGAAATTACAAAAACAGCTGAGCAAACTCACATTAAAAAAGTACTAGTCAAAACCCTCCTTAAGATCTTTCAGAATTTCTTCATAA